AATCCCCCTCTGTAAAATGGGGTCATGGTAAACAGTCCCCTATCCTACAAGGAATTGTGAAGATCAATTCATGAAATATTGTGAGGCACGCAACTATGGTGTGAATCAGGGGACATATAAGTACCTAGATTAACAGAAGGATGGTTTATATTGGGCAGCTGTGGTAGAGTGGAATAAGCATGGGTACTGGAATCAGGAGACCAGGGTCTGGCACTAGTTTACTCTGTGACCTTGGGCAAGTTACCTGACCACTTTGTGCCCTATTTGCTCTGCCTGTAAAGCACCAGCGTGAAGCGCTTGGAGAGCTATGAATGAAAATGTGCTATAACACTGCAAAGTATCATAACCATTAGCCGCCACAATCTCATTTTGCCTTGTTTCGTTAACAGCTATTGTGAATGGGGCGGAGACAGACCTTTCACCAATGGAATTTACTCTGTATGTACTTTGTTGTCTGGGAACAATGCCTCAATCAAATTCAAGTTGAGAAAAGGGCCTGACTATTTAAAAAATAATTAAAAGGCGTTCTAACCAGGAAAGGTCCATCAATGCCTCATATATGCATCATGCAAACGGAAACAGAGGTTGCTGGGTCAAGCTCTAATAAGATCCTTTCAGAGGGAGCCAGTTTTACTCTTTTTTATACTCTTTTATTGGAGAAAGGGTATGAAACAAAGCCGGAAGGGTAATAATCGTACTATTGGGAGACCATGGTAATCTTGGCAATTAAGGACTCCCTAGGAGGTTAATTAAACACATTGAGAGTCAAACATTTCACAAAATGTTTCAAGTATGTCATAAAAACCGTGCCCACCTTAGACAGCTCAGTTCTGAACCATCAACAGCCTATTTGTTTTTGTCATGCTGAACTTGCCTCCAAGTATGCTGTAGAAATGGCAACTGTTAACTTTTAATTAGCAAATGAAAAGACCCACTAGGTCAGCTAGTTCATCTCCCTGTCAATGCACAATTCTATTCCCTGCAGTAAATTTTTGCCCACTTGGCCCAGTTTAGTTTTAAAAGTCTCAAGCAACAGGGCTCCTTCCACTCTCTTCAAGAGGCTATTCCAGACCTTGCTGTTCGCATTTCTACTTCCCCGATTGCCTACACTTTTCTGTGCTCAGTTTCATCCTATTAATCCCAATTCTAAACCTCCTGGATCACCCTAAACACTTCATCTCATTCCTTTACGTATGCACCCTTCAAAAACTTGTAGACCAATCAATATCTTTCAAACTGGACAAAAATCTGAGGAAAGCATCCAGCCCAGCGGGCTAAAGCCTGAGTTTTATAAATAATACGAGAGAGTTCCCCTCTGCCCCCACCATTAAAGATGTATAACGCTTCCCTTTTTAAGGGGTGAATCCTTTGGAAAATTGGCATCTGGTGTAGTTCATTCAGATCCCCTGAGAAAACACAGACGCAGAAAAGACTTACAGTCCAGACCCCAATTTGTCCAATAAAAGATATTACCTCACCCATCTTGTCTCAGACCCAAGTTTCTCATTAATATATATATTCCAAAATCTATGCCAAATTCACTTCAGCTGGCTATCTTCCCTAGCAGTAAAAGCTCAAATCTCCAGTTATCGGAATAAAGAATTCCTTAGCTAACTTTCCAACTGAAGAAATCCCTTAAAGGAGAAAAAAAAATCCCTTTATTCCTCCTCATTTATTTATAGCCTGGATATTTGGGATTGTACAGAAACATATAGAGGAAAAAAAGTTAGCAGGTCAGATAAGAAATTAACCCTCCTCTCTTGTTGCTCTGTACTAAGCCAAGTGCTCAGGATTTTCCTCAAGCAGTACTAACCAGGGGGAGGAATATCTGAAACCAGAGATTACTACATTCTTCTGCCAAATAGTGATTGTAACAAAAAAAACACTCTGATCCTGTAAAGGTGCTTAATATGTCCACATATTCTTTAGCTAACACTGCTATGAGGAGAGTTTCTGAAATCATATTATATGGATGGCTGTGTCTATTGGATGGTCTTACACAGTAGCCCTCGTTTTCCACTTGCACCAATGTGAATCAGGAGTAATTTCAGTAAATGCAGGGGAGTTACGTCCCTGTAAATTAGAGTGAGATCAGAATCAAGCCCCGTATATGGAAAAGGATGGAAACATTTTATCACATGGTTTTTAGAGCAACGAGGTAGAAATCACGTATTGGACCTGGCAATACACAGGTAAAGTTTTGTGAGAGTTACACATATTACAGATAGTTATTCAGATGAGAGGACACATACTATGCAGAAAGCAACAGAGGGTCCTGTGGCACCTTTGAGACTAACAGAAGTATTGGGAGCATAAGCTTTCGTGGGTAAGAACCTCACTTCTTCAGATGCAAGTAATGGAAATTTCCAGAGTGGGAAGTTGACATAAATCTTCCACTGCAGAGAGTAATTTCTTACTTGGAAACTGTAGTTGATAAGTTTAAATTTGAAATTTCAAAAATGATTCATCCTGATGATCCAGCCAAAGTGAGCAAAACCAGAGTTTACTTCCACTCACATTATAGGGCTTTGCATATAGATTCAAGATGCAATCTTAGGCCTCAATCCTTCAAAAACTTTAACATGTTTAATTGCACAATGGGAACAATCGCATGTACCAGCGGTTTTCAAACTTTAGCAACCCGAGGACCCCCATTTTGATTTAAAATATTTCAGGGACCCCGAACCCTCCTGCTCAGCCCCGGGCCCTGCCTCCACTTCACCCCTTCCCTCAAGGCCCCACCCTTGCCCCACCTCTTCCCGCCCTCTGCTCACTCCATCCCCTCTCCCCCACCCTCACTCACTTTCACCAGGCTGGGGGCAGGAGGTGCAGGTGCAGGAGGGGGTGCGGGCCCTGGGTGGGAGTTTGGCTGCAGGAGGGAGTATGGGGTGCGGGCTCTTGGAGGGAGTATGAGGTGCGGACTCTGGGCTAAGGCAGGGGGTTGGGGTGAGGCCAATTCCCGGCCAATGCGAGCTGCAGATTCGGCGCTCGGGGCAATAACAGCACGCGGAGACCTGTCCTTGCCCCCCGCCCCCCACCCTCCACCCCAGGGGCCGCAGGGATGTGCCGGCCGCTTCCAGGAGTGGCGCAGGTCCAAGGCAGGCGGAGAGCCTTGTGACTGTACCCCATAAGGCTTTATGGGGAGGGGGTGCTTATAAATGTATGTATGACATAACTGGAATATGTTTGGTGCTGCCTGTGCCAGGTAACATATCTCCGTAAAGGTTATGGTCTACTATATCTATTCATCCTATTTGTACATATATATATCATTTTCTACTTGAGGTTAAGAATATGGGCTGTATGCTTGCTTGGTTTCTAAGTAAGCTTTGGGAGGCATTTGGTCAGCTTCTTTAGGAAGGAATTCTCCAGGTTAAGTACCTGATCAGGAAACACTTGGGGAACAATGCATCTTGGAATGCTCCAATCCACATAAGAAGTCTTCCTAGAGACATGCAAGATTCCATGTGGGCAATGGCTTCAGCCTGTAAAGACTGAGTCATGCAGGGACATGTGACTTGCCCAGGTGACTCCAGAACTCCATCTTGGAGCTGGACTTTGCATAGGAGGGAGGAGGGGGGTCTCCTCCCACAAGAGAGAGTCTATTTAAACCCATGGGAGACCCCTCCATTTTGTCTTCAGCTGGCTAAAGAAGGAGCCTCTCCACCCCCCCAGGATGCTTGAAGGAAACTGAAACAAAAGACAGTAACTACAGGGGGTTGTGAGAGATTGCTGGACCCAGGCTAAAGGGAGATTAGCCTGTGAAAGGGAGCATTCTGGAACTGGTGAGGAACTTATCTGTATTTAGTTTGATTAGGCATAGATTTGCGCATTTTATTTTATTTTGCTTGTGACTTACTTTGTTCTGTCTGTTACTACTTTGAACCACTTAAATCCTACTGTCTGTATTTAATAAAATCACTTTTTATTTAGTAATTTACTCAGAGTATGTATTAATACCTGGGGGAGCAAACAACTGTGCATATCTCTCTATCTGTGTTATAGAGGGCGAACAATTTATGAGTTTGCCCTGCATAAGCTTTATGCAGGGTAAAACGGATTTATCTGGGTTTAGACCCCATTGGGAGTTGGGCATCTGAGTGCTAAAGACAAGCACACTCCTGTGAGCTGTTTTTGGGTAAACTTGTAGCTTTGGGACAAGTGATTCAGACCCTTGGTCTGTGTTGGAGTCAGACAGGAGTGTCTGACCTAGCAAGACAGGGTGCTGTAGTCCTGAGCTGGCAGGGAAAACAGAAGCAGGGGTAGTCTTGGCACATCGGGTGGCAGCTCCCAAGGGGGTTTCTGTGATGCAACCCGTCACAAGCCTGCCTTAGCCCCACTGCGCCGCTGGACTTTTACCGGCCTAAAATCTTCCAGTTTGGCTTCAGTAGCCTCCGGGAGATAGAGGGAGGGGGAGGAGTTGAGGAAGGGAGGGGGAGGAGTTGATCAGTGGGGCCAGCAGACCCCCCTTGGAGACCCCCAGTGGTTCGCGGACCCCAGTTTGAGAAACGCTGCCATATAGCCCTAATCACAGGGTGCAAAGTTATCCATGTGCAGAAGTCTTTGCAGAATCAGTGCCTTCCAAACTGCATTAGAAATTCATTAAAGGGACACAAACGACTGAAATATGACATGCTTCTCTGAAATATTTTAACTTATTGTTACAAGTAACAAAAAATTGCTATAACCAAAAGAGATTAGAGAAAAATGAATATCTGTCTATTTCTACAGTTTGTTCATGTGTTTGAAAGCATTTTGTGAATTGTCGACTGAATTATTTCCCCTGTATAGTAAGTCGAGTTCCCCTCTTTGTGACAGCAACAGGAGAGGGCAAAGCATTGTCTTAGAAATAGGGAGAAAAAATGGTTTTACTGAAAATTAACATGGAAAATTATGCAATAGGTGTAATACCAGAAACAAGCTTTAAACTCATTATTCGAAATTGGTAAGATTTGAAGACGGAGGTACCCCTTTAATATGTATTCCCCATCAGAGTTTACCTCGAGAAAATGCTCTGCCTGCTGCTCTCGATCCAATTTTCTTGATGTTGTAGTAATCAGACCTGTGGAAAAAGGAGAACATTTGATTGTCAATATCTGCTGGAGCAACATAAGTCTCTCCACTGACCATAAGAAACAAGTTCATCTGCTGAATTCTCCAAAAGTAGTGGTGGTGGTGGGGAAATGATTTGGAACAGTATCATGCCTAGTTTTCTTGATGTCTCTCCGACATCACCACAGTCAGTGTTTGCCTGAAAATGAATCTGTAAGGGGAAAAAGAATACAATATTAAAAACTGAAAATGGGTTACAATTGTGTTTATATAGTTAATACACTGTAGTTAGTATGGTAAATTAAAAAATCTCAGTAAAGAATCACTAGCTGTCTTGTAATTAGCAATTTTAATTAACATTTGCATATGAGTGAAATCTTACAGTAAGTACCTCATTAAAGATTTTAGAGTTCTTGAACAATTAATGGGATGGGATGCCGATTACTTCTGTGCCAAAGATCTGTCTTCTGTTATTTAACTTTCTGATAGGTTTTTGATCTCTCTTTTTTGTTATTATATTTGACAACGAAGGTTATTTCTGTAATAGCTCCTTGTATGCATAATGATTTCCAGCTCTTGTGCACTGACGGTGTTGTACTACGTCATCATTTTGTTCCATGTATAAACAGCTTTTAAACAAAGTAACTTTTTACATTAAAAAGATCAAGACATCTTTACTTTAAACAATGCTCTTCTATACACTAATAACCTCATGCACGATTTAGACTTAGCAAAGAAAATATGAGACACTCTCACAGACTTTACTGTGTTGTTAAAAACAATTTTAGCTTTTATTTTTCCTCAGTAGCAATTAAAAGGTTCCACTTCTACCTCACACAAAGTGTTCTTTGAATAGCAGGATACATTGTGTGCTGTCTCGGAGGTAGATTCTGACTAGTGTTAAGAAACCAGAATCCCAGAGGTATATATTTTATTGAAGACAATGCCAATGTACCATATACTTTGCAAGAATTCATCCTTCACATTTGCTAGAAAAACAGGAGCAGTAATATCCCATTCCTGAGCTAAAAGACTTACTTATTTAATGAGAGGATTTACCCTTATGATGACCATGATTTTGTTCAGAATAATAATAATTGTTATTAATTAGAATTATTATATCCTACATTTATATTGTGCCTTTAATCTCAAAGCACTCTAAAGCACTTTACACACTGTCACTTTCTACTTAGGAGGAATCACTTCACTCACCAGTAAAATAGGGGTTATAACTAGGAGTAATGGGATTAAATTAACAAAGGGAGGTGTTTCCTGATATTTCAGACTAACAGCGAGATCTATTAGACTGAAAAACAGACTCCCAAGAGAAAGGGATAGAAACCAGACTAGACTCGACAAAGCATCAGAACCAATTGTATACTGTTGTTATTGAGAATAATCCTGTGCTGGCAAAGGGTGGAAAAGAAAAATGCAGCAGGCCTTTTCGATCTCAGATGGTTATAATTTTGTTCTCTGGGCTGTAAGATGACTGCAGTTGTGTGGGTTTAGGAAGGCATCCCAGTGGATGACAGGTTTGTGCCATGCATGCAACTCTGTATTCCGTGTGAATGCAGATCATCATATATGAACACAAGGAAGAAGTCACTACAAGCAGATGCTTGTTTTCAGAAACACCTTGTAAGAGTAACCGCCCCTTACAAGCAACATTTCCCCTGGGAACATGTTCCCTACTGTGACTTATCAACACTCCCTAATAACAGCAATGGTTGCTTAGGAGCAACATAGCAAAAGGGCACTGATATAGTGCTACTAACGGGCGTTTACTGTATTTAAGAAAATATTTCAGTACCAACAAGATTTTAAAGTAGAACTCATTAAGCCCTTTTGTGGCATTTAGACACCACTACAGACACCTGTGCTCAGCAAGGGCATGTATCAATAGAGCTCTCACTATTGCTGAAGATATGAGATCTCTTTATATGCCCTCCCATTCTCTTTTTGCTAAGGCACTATTTATAAATGGTACCCAACTTCTTCTTAAGCCAGAAATGTACATACACAAAGAGTATGGACTGAAGGTCAGATAGTCAAATCCACCCTATACCTTCCCAAACGGTTTTGCACGCATGCTGCATGGCCAGTCATTACAGTGAGTGATATGATTAGGGTTGCCAAATTTCTAATCGCATGAACCCGAACACCCTTACGCTGTCCCCTGCCTCGCTGCAGCATGTCCCCCCTCCGGCTCCTAGACAGAGGGACCAGGGGGCTCTGAGCGCTGCCTGCACCCACAGGCGCCACTGCCACAGCTCCCATTGGCTGCGGTTCCTGGCCAATGGGAGATGCGGAGCCGGCACTCGGGGCAGCATGCGAAGCCCACGTGGCCGCCCCTGTGCCTAGGAGCCGGACATGCTGGCCACTTCTGGGAGCCGAGTGTAGCCAGACCAGGCAGGGAGCCTGCCTTAGCCTCGCTGCACCATTGACCGGAGCCACCAGGGACCCTTTCCGACTGGGCATTCTGGTCGAAAACTGGCTGCCTCGCAACCCTAGATATGATTTCTACCCCATAGAGAGAGCACATCTTACTCTCCTTTTGAAAGGAAAGGTTCACAATGGACTGTTCAAACTAAACCTTCCAGTTGGTAGAACACCCTGGCACCTGCCACTGGACAGGCAAAAGGGACGGTCACTATGATCAATTCTCACACGTGTGCTTTTGTAAGTTTGTTGGTTTTTTTTTAAGCAACAGACATTGATATTATAGTTCTATCCAGAGGCCCCAAATACATCTGGCTCCCATTCTGCTATGTTCTTCAGAGCAGGCGCTGTCTGTGTGTTTGTTCAGTGCCTAGCACAGTGGGATTCCATTCTTGGCTGGTGCTTAGGCACTACTGTAATAAACATGATTAATGATATAATAATAAATACAAACACATAGCAAGTCCCTAAAATGGTTCATATAATTTCAAAGAAATGGCTACAGGAAGAGAAGAGCAGCCCTTAGACCCCACACTGAACAATACTTAGTATACGCTCTTCAATCAAATAATCATCTTACACAGAGATGGCTATGTTCCCTATAAAGGCTGTTGATGTTGGGCCAATTACATCAGCCCCCACGAGTGTCTTCAGCTGAATTTCATGGGTTTTAGTCAGAGCAGAATTCAGCCAATGGTGGTGTAACATTTTTTCCCCTCGCCAAGTTTATTAATGTAACAAATAAGTGAAAGTAATAGTACTCAGCAGAACATTTTAAATCTTCCAAGCATTGTGCACAAATTAACCAATCCATCTGCACAACGTCTCAGTGAGTATCATCCTCATTTGAAAGGTGGGGAAACTGAGGCAACTTGACCAATGTCACCCAGCAGGCCAGTGGTAGTTGTGACGGTAGTTCTTTATTTATCGATAGCTGGTGGGGCTGGAGGGTTTAGGATGACTGCCATGCCCCCCATCCAGAAGAGAAGATAATTTGCTGCTCTGGCTGAAGGGCAGCCCCATTCCTGAGCTGCCAGCTGGGAATTGTTCAGTCTGTCTCTCCCTGGCTGTCAGGCAGTAGTAAGGGAGGATGCTTGCTGCTCCTGACATTCAGATGTCAAGAGGAGTTATCTCCCCGCCACCCCCACCGGACACCAAACAGGGAGAAGGTCCCGTCCTCGGGCTTGGGGAGGGCTTTGTAATCATAGAAGTCTGTTGGGCCAGCCAGCTTCAGGGGCTTGGTCCAGAGTCTTGGCTGTACACGAGCATGGATAATGCTGTGAGATTTCCTGCTTCCATTCAAGCCATCCTATCAACTGACCTTCTAGCACATCTGCTCCCAGCCAAGCACTGGAAGTGGGGCGTCAGCTAAACTTTTGTGAACTTCAAAACAGATTAGACCCAGGTCAAGTTCTGGGTCCAGAACTAATTAGACTAGTCTTAATTTGCCCTTTTACAGAGCCTTTCATCCATGGATCTCAAAGCAATTTATAAGCATCCCCTGCAGGATAAACAACTATTATCATCCTCATGTTACAGACAGAGAAGCTGAGACACAGGTAAGCGACTCACCTTAGGTCACAGAGTGAATAAGTGACCCCACCAGGAACAGAACTCTGAACTCCTGACTCCATGTCTGCTGTTCTAGCCACCGGACAACAAACCCTCTTTGAACCAGTTCACTAACCTTTGGTGTTAACGTATATATACTGTAGCGAACACGTAAGCATAGAAACAGTTATGAGTTCAACAATGAGGCTAGCACTCTATGCAATGGTAAAATATGAACATGAAATAATTAATAATATAATAAACAAGCCAGACAGTGCCAAAAACTGTTAGCCTTTGTGTTTAGCTTTTTAGTATTGCTGATTTGTGTCATCATGGGTATTTGTGTGATATGCAAAAAAATAGGTTTATTTTTGACTTAAAATGATTCCTTTGTGATTTAATTTTTTTAAAACAGTAGTTTTGCTTGGATGGTTAATCATGTGTTTATGCAGCTTTTTATTTGTATCTGGGGAAATACCCAAAAGTACTTATTTGCATTATGGGCCTGATGCCATTTAGGTTTCAAAACAGAAAGCTAGATTCTCAGCGAGTGTAAATCAGTGTAGCTCCCCTGAAGTCAAAGGAGTCACATCAATTTACACAAGCTCAGGATTTGTCTGAGAGGATTTTATTTTTTTAATTTTTGGTCTATCTTTAATCATGAGTATATGAAAAACCCACGGTAAATCACTACTTTTTGTGTAACAAGAAAAAAAGTTCTATTTTTTAATAAATTGCATCAAAAGTCATTTTTAGGCAAAAATCTGATAAGTCCATGTCCAATCTCAGCATCCATTATTTTATTTGTATATGCAAGTTGTACTTTCTTTGAATACATAAAATGTCATTTAACTCCTACCAAAGCTGCAAATCAAAATTAAGTTCTGTCAGTTTTGCCTACCTTTCAGATAGTTTACCATGTACAGTACTGGAAATGTAAACTTCTTTTATAGGACATTTGTTACGCTAACACAAAGCTCATGTTTTTTGGCAGCTTATATGGTTAACTTGACAAGGAAT